CGACATGCCCGAACAAATTCCGGTACCGGCATGCGTAGCCGGTCGCCAGAGAGCTCTAAAGCACGCCTTCGCGGGGTATGGGGGGGGGGGGGGAGGGTCCCCAATACATTTTGTAAATTAGACGGCCGCAAATGCGTTTTCATACAATTCTGACTTGTGAGTATAACAATCATTTAGGGGAAAATATTACATTCATTTGTTAAATTATTTGCAAAAATGCACTATATTATATGTCTCACTTGTCCATAATTTTAGTATTTTTATGTTGAAAAACTGTCAACAAGCACTAAATAGACGTCACTTGGCAAGCTGTCAAACAATCCACGTAATCTTAACAATTAGCTGTGTGTACTAAACGTGAAAAAAAGGTGTGTTCCCACTTAGCCGGCAGACTGTTAATCCTTTGATTGATCTTAAAACTATAGTCTGTTTAAAAGTAGTCACTCAAGAACTGTTCACTAGTGTTCAGCGTTAATGAGCTCTTAATCTCTCCTAATATTTACAAGATATTATTTGGTGGTACCAAAAGGCCTCGAGTTAAGAAATATCGACAACTTAATACAAGAATTGAACATTTGAAAACACAGTTATTAAATGGCTCTTTAAGTGTAAATCGGTATGGAACAAATATTTCCTATTTAGTGGGGCTGTAAAATGATTGTTATGTTGTAAGGCATTTATTTATAAATTATATAATGCTATTTAATAAAAGGTAAATTGTAATGCATTTTTATATGTGTAAATCATTTAATGTTATTTAATAAATATTAAATTTGTTAAAATCAATATATTTGTATATGTGTAAGCTATTTAATGTTATTTAATAAAAGTTAAATTTGTTATACAGTTTTAGTCTTAAAAAAGATATGGACTATAGTTTATAACACCATTTTTCTAGGATAAACTCTGGATTAGCGGCAAAATTTGACATCAAAGCCTGCCGGCTAAGTGGGAACACCCCGAAAAAAAAACCATAAATTCGTGTTAATAATAACCGAATAAACAGCCTATTTGATCAAACTTTTGGGCAAACGACGACGTTGAAAATCGTTGGTCTTCCCCGTTAAGTAAAAAATAAACCGTTGACTTAAATGCTTTTAAAATATATTTTTCCTTTTCACAATATAACTTGGTGTACTATCTTTTGATCAACAAATGATTTTATCGACTTCCTGAGTACTTGTTTTATGTGATGACGATAACGCAAGGATATTAATACACCCTTTTCTTTAAGTGTGACATCACCATCCATTTGAACGAGTGACAGCGATAGTCAAGAAATGGGGACACCGAACTTTCGGCTATATCGTTCAATTTTCGAAGCTATGTTCCCCCATATTTTATACGTGCTTGGTCTTTCGGAACGGACTGCTAACAAGCTGAACCCATAAATATACACAATGTTAAACATACATTATGCAAGAGCTAAATCTGCCTATTGTAAGTCTTTATTTAGGCTTCAGATGTTATAAAATTATTAATTAAACCTTTATTTACATGACAAGCTTAAAATCTACTCTGTAGACCCTCGGATGGCTTGGATACAGCTTGGATTTAAACAGTTGTCCATTTAATAATTAAATCAATAAATGGCTGATCAAGCTTACGTTTAACGTTAGTCGGGGACGTCACCACCGGAAACTGGTGATGAGAGGCCTGCCAAGCGAGAATACCATTGCCATTGAGAATGTTACTTGATAATCGAGAATATGTGGGTGGAGTTATCGTCTGTCAATCAAACGATGAGCAATATTCGGAGACGGTGCAGACACAGTTGATGCCTATTTCTAGTCCAAACTTCCAACAGTGACAACTCCGTTCAGAATAAAGGAATTTGACTGAAATATATATTCTGTTTTTGAACTATTATAACAAGAATGACCAACTCTTTATTAAATTCTTAACTAATGTATCCTTAAATAAGATTGGATAATGAGGAATACACACATTGCACACCCATTGATTTTGAAATATGACTACTGCCGATATAATTCTAATTAAAGTAGCTAAGTCTCTAACTCAAGATCATCCAAAGTCTTCGACATTGAAAACACAAATTATTTGTCAAATTAAATCAACATTCATGTTGTTATGTTACCGGAAAAGATGGGCTTCTGATATCCAACATTTAAGACAAAATAAACATTTTACCATTGGTTCACGATAATGCGTTTCAGTGCCATTTGAAACAAAGGAATCGAAGAACGAGGCTAGACATATTCCACAAGTCATGTCAAACGGTAACGTCATATTCGTATCTGGAGAGCATGCACAATAAATATTATCGCTGCAGAATTGAATAACCAGACGCTAGAGCTTGCTATTCGATCGAGACTTCTAGCATATTTAGCTGAACATAAATGGTATGAATTTAGAGTAAAAACGGAAACGATTGAATATAAATCAGTTTATATATGTTCATAGTACATTATTACATGCATTGCAACCAATTTGTGTCAATTTCTAGGTCCCAAATATTAGCGATTTAGCTCCTTTAATTAAAGGTGTAGCACATATTATGTGTGTGTGTGTGTGGGTGGGGGTGTGGGTGGGGGTGTGTGTGCGTGTTGAAATGGCAAGATGGGTATGAAAGAAAAGGTTTCCTATCCGAATTCCCCAAACCATATCAGAAAATGAGGCGATATTATTTGCATTTGAGAAGCAAATGGATATCAATTAACATTGGCGTAGTGGTTTAATCACAATTTAAAATTCAATGATTTCAAAAGATACAGAGAGAGAGAGAGAGAGAGAGAGAGTTTAACGTCCACTCGACACAAACTAGGTAATTTCGGGACTAACATATGGTTTAACTTTATTTCAATAATTCGCTTGCGCGTAGGGGTCTTTAGCAGTGGGGGGAAACCGGAGGACCCTACTCCTTGTCATGTACAACCGGGGATTAGAAACCACGCCAGTTGACTAAATGACAGGCTTTATGATACAGCGCGCACATGCTAACTCTTCGACCACCCCCCCACCCCCTAAAAAAAAAATAGAACTCACCGATGATCTGCATAAAGCAAACAATAGCACGCTGTATCTTCATCTTGATAACGACTGAACTATACTAATTACTAATTGTTTATTTCTGTATCTTATTATGACGATATTTCCCTTCATTTCGATTGTTGTTCGTTAACATCCGTTAAAGCAATTTGATCAATGTAAAAACTTTATTCATACACTGTTTGTATTTTGTATTACGGGTTGAAAGGCGCTTGGATAGGCCACTTGATATAAGAATGCATTCTGTTTTACAGAGGATTACGAAAGTCTTCTAATAACTCTGTAAAAGATGAATGCTTTCAACACATGACGTCACATCACGCGGCGTCAATCATTGGCTCAATGGCGCGTGCATGGTCCGGGCAAAACGATGCATTTTACTCATTTAATACCCATTTACACTAAATATGACATATTTTTTACTTACATATACTTCGAACACCTTTATTTATTTTTCTAAACGCTTAAAAAAAATGGTCTAGAATTTAATTTGCAGAATGAAAAAAGTTAATAGTGGGGGCTCATTAAGCTTTATCAATGACATATCAGTGATTGTAGCGGCCTAGCGAATATTCACTGCTGATCAGTATGATAAGAATGAATGAATGATATGGAGGTTACTATTATGGGCAGCTCCAACCCAGCGGGCACACAACGTTGTGACAACATTGTTCAGGGGTTGTATCACAACGTCTGAAATAGGTCAGCTGTAGGTTGTTTTGCAACAAACTCTTACGTTGTGACAACGTTGTACGGACGTCAAAGCAACATTGTCACAACGTTGTGTGGTGGTTGACGAAAAGTTGTGACAACGTTGTACGGACGCCAAAGCAACATTGTCACAACGTTGTGTGGTGGTTGACGAAAAGTTGTGACAACGTTGTACGGACGTCAAAGCAACATTGTCACAACGTTGTGTGGTGGTTGACGAAAAGTTGTGACAACGCTGTACGGACGTTCAAGCAACATTGTCACAACGTTGTGTGGTGGTTGACGAAAAGTTGTCACGACGTCAGAATTTGTTGTTTTTCAACGTTGTGTGGTGGTTGGCGAAAAGTTGTCACGACGTCAGAATTTGTTGTTTTGAGGTTGTATAAAACCCAGTATAAGCCCCATCCGAACTCCCTACAGTTCTGCCCCCACTGGACTAACGAAGACGGGAATAGGCGGCCGGGCACGATGGAAGTTAAATTAGGTGTGTGTTCGGGGAAGGGGGGGGGGGGGGTGTGCTTAAATGCCCGACAGATTTGGGCCACGGTTTTGACATAGTGAAACGATACGCGAAGTTTCAACACCCTCACTGAATTAGAATCAAAGTTATTGTGTCCCATCACAACCAATCTAATTGCTTCTTTCTGAATAAAATCAGTATCAATTAATAGGACAGTACGTAGTTTCAAAACATTCAATTCAAACGATTATATTACAGTCAATATTAATGCTAGAGTCATATAACTTTGCAGTAATGGGTAAAGGTAATAGAATCTGATCATTAAATTTTACGTAATGGTCATGTAATGAGTAATGGAAGATTTCAAAAGTAATGAGTAATGGAAATGTAATTAATTACATTCCGAAAATCATGTAATGGTCAATTACATTTCAATTACATTTAATGGCGCATTCTTTGAATGGCATTTAGTAATTAGAACATAATCAAATAACGCACTTTTATGAAATAACAATTACTATGGTTTATTTCACTGCAACGTTTCAACAAGATTTCACAAGTCGTTTTCAAGCATATATACACAAATAAATAAAATGAGAAAGATATGAATATATATATATAAACATCAGTGCGAACTATCCAATGGTATGCATGTCTTTAAATCTGATTGATTAAATGCTAAATTAGCACTAATCTTTAAATAGTAATAAAATGTAATTATTTACTTTCAATGTAATGGGTAATGAATGATATTGCTAAAAATGAGAAAGTAATTTCAATGCAATTGGTACTGTAATAATAATAATAATTTATTATTTATAATGCGCCTATTACCAATATAAAACATTCAATGCTCAATGGCGCAGTTAACATTTTGTGGACATCACACATAGAAAATAAAATAAAATTAAATGGATGATAAAAGAACTTAAAATGGCTTATAAAGATTATAATAAAATATGACATGTAATAAACAAATTTAAACTGTACATGTACTTAATTGGTCCCTCTTCTGTCCGGCTCATATTTTAGATGAGCCGAAACTGCTGTTATTATCTCGGCTTCATTGCAGCTCGGCTGACTGATCATTACACTATCTGAAGAATACAAAAAACTGTATATTTACTCTGTCAAATTTTGTAAATTATATAATTCAGTCCGATCAAAAAGGTGGTCCTAAAGCTGTAACAGATAATTCTGCATCCCATGAATTATGGACCAAAGGTGGCTTATTGGGTAAAACGCTGGCTCGCTTGTCTGGAGGTCGCATTTTCGATCCCTACATTTGCCGAGAAAGTTCAGTAGGCCTGACAAGGACAACTGTTAGTCGTTTGGATGGTATGAAAAACCGAGGCCTCGTGTACACATTGACGTGCAAGTAAAAGATCTCTTGGCAGTTTGAATTCGAGTAGGCCATAGTGCCGCTGCCCGGGCAAATTTTTCCTTCATTGCACGCGGTATAGCGCATGCCCATCTTCATTAGCCTAGTCTGAGCAGAACAGTAGGACGTTAAACCCCATATGAATTATATTATATATGACCCAATAACACATTCTATATGAGACATCGCTTGTGTTATTACTTTCATATTCTCCATAAATTTGTACGTGTAAGAAAGGCATGGGTGTTAAATTACAAAAAAGATAGGTTGCCAGGCAACGAAACATACGCCCACAGCAGCTAAATCGTCCGGGCAGTCAACAAGAGTTGTCGCATATCTTTACTTTTTTCGGTAATGAAACATTTATAATACACTAAAATCTGATTAAGAGCAAAAACTCAGAAAACCATTAGAATTTGTTTGGTTTTTATAAAGTTCTGCCCCATGCTAACGTTTTGTATACAAAACTTTTAATACTGTATCATGGATTTAGCTGTCCAAGTCATAAAGATAGGTTGCCAGGCAACGAAACATACGCCCACAGTAGCTAAATCGTCCAGGCAGTCAACAACAGTTGTCACATATTTTTACTTTTTTCGGTAATGAAACATTTATAATACACTAAAATCTGATTAAGAGCAACAACTCAGAAAACCATTAGAATTTGTTAGGTTTTTATAAAGTTCTGCCCCATGCTAACGTTTTGTATACAAAACTTTTAATACTGTATCATGGATTTAGCTGTTTCAAGTCATAAAAATTCATTGAAAATCAATATACTTGTTTGCCTCAAGATCTTAAACTCTGTGTATCAATCTGAAGTCAATTCATTGAAAATCAATATACTTGTTTGCCTCAAGATCTTAAACTCTGTGTATCAATCTGAAGTCAATCGGATATTAACTTTGGCCTCTAGAGCGTCCCCAAGATTTTTCAAAGTGATCAAGGGCCATAACTTTGGCAGTAATTATCAGAAATCTTTGAAAATCAATAGGATTCTTCGCCTCGTGACCTCAAACACTGTGTATAAATTTAAAGTCAATGAGATTAACTTTAGCCTTTAGAGCATCCACAAGGTTTTTTGAAGTGATCAAGGGCCATAACTCTGGAAGTAATTATCGAAAATCACTGAAAATGAATAGACTTCTTCGTCTCATGACCTTAAACACTGTGTATGAATTTAAAGTCAATCGGATATTAACTGAGCGTCCACAAGATTTTTCAAAGTGATCAAGGGCCATAACTCTGGCAGTAATTATCGTAAATTGCTGAAAATCAATAGGCTTCTTCGTCTCATGACCTTAAACATTGTGTATAAATTTAAAGTCAATCGGATATTAACTTTGGCCTCTAGAGCGTCCTCAAGATTTTTTGAAGTGATCAAGAGCCATAACTCTGGCAGTAATTATCGGAAATCACTGAAAATCAATAGGCTTCTTCGTCTCATGGCCTTAAACACTGTGTATAAATTTAAAATCGATCGGATATTAACTTTGGCCTCTAGAGCGTCCACAAGATTTTTTGAAGTGATCAAGGGCCATAACTCTGGCAGTAATTATCGGAAATCGCTGAAAATCAATAGGCTTCTTCGTCTCATGACCTTAAACCCTGTGTATAAATTTTAAGTCAATCGGATATTAACTTTGGCATCTAGAGCGTCCACAAGATATTTTGAAGTGACCAAGGGCCATAACTCTGGCAGTAATTATCGGAAATCGCCGAAAATCAATAGGCTTCTTCGTCTCATGACCTTAAACACTGTGTATAAATTTAAAGTCAATCGGATATTAAGTTTGGCCTCTAGAGCGTCCACAAGATTTTTTGAAGTGATCAAGCAATTGTGGACGCCGGACCGACGGACGAACGGACGGGGGCGAGGACAACATACGACCACATTTCAATGTCGGCGTATAAAAAGATCAACACTCATCGATGAAGTAATAAAAACTCGTGTATGCCCATACCATGTTTGATTATCCGATATTTAAGGATATGTTCGTAAATTGAGTATGATAAAAACAAACCTCTGACAACTTTGTAAATTTCTAAGTCCATTATGGACCGCCTCCCTTTATTTCCCTTTAAATTAAATTGGGCCATTAGGGAATTAGACATCAACCTGTTAAAATAAAAAGACATACTGTTTATGCGTTTGACAATACCACGAATTTTGACTTTCCATTCCTTGACACCTAGAAATGGACATAAATGGGTTGCAACGCATATAATAATGTAATATGTTTGTATATTAACTGATTTACATTCAATCGTTTCTGTTTTTACTGTAATGTCTAATCAGTTATGTTCGGCGAAATACGCGAAGAGAGAGAGAGAGAAATGGGGTTTAACGTCCACTTGACACAAACTTGGTCATTTCGGGACTAACACATGGTTCAATTTTATTTCAATAATTCGCTAGCGCGTAGGGGTCTTTTTAGCAGTGGGAGGAAACCGGAGGACCCGGAGAAAACCCACCAGGTTAGACAGGCGACCAAACTCCTTGTCACGTACAACCGGGGAATCGAAACCCCGCCAGTTGACTCAATAACAGACCGTATGATACAGCGTGCGCGTGCTAACCATTCGGCCATCCAATCCCCCATACGCGAAGAGTCCAAACTGAATGCCAGTCTTTGGCGTCTGGTTATTCAAGTTTACACCCGCATATAGTATTCTCTTGGGTATATTTAACTTCATTCTTCGAGTCTCTCTATTACAAATGAAATTTGAAAGCATTCTTGCACGCGATTCGTGTGGCAATTTCAAAACTTTAACTTTGTGTTAAATATTGGACATTAGAAGCCCATCTTTTTACGGTTACAACATTGATGTTGGGTTTAATTAAACAATGAGTCCCATGGTTGCAATGTCGAAGACTGTGGATGATATTGAGTTAGAGACTTGACTCCTTTAAGACGAAGACGATTGGAAAACGAATGTACGATTATTTTATCAATTTGTTTTCAAAAGAAAGAATACGACTTTAAACTGGTAACCACCAAGGCTCATCAGATGGGTTACCTATATAGCTATAACATGAAATAAATGAAACACATCTAGTATATTATTATATTTCAATCACTGTAATATTTACAATCAATGTCAGTTCAATTATGCAGGTGTATGCTCATGGATATTGATGTTGTACATTTAATAATAAAATTACCCTTCACTTGAATTAAATCTAAAACCCACAAGCATGTAATTAAAGAGCTGTGGTGTTAACAGTCGCACTAGCCCGGCATTATATCCACCTGTCCGTAGATCGACAAAGTACAAGATTTAATTTTCAGAGCATATATGTTTTGTTGCGTGTCAACCTATCTTTTTAATTAAGATCGTAGACTTGGTTGCCTAATAATTAAGATGTATACAGCGACTTGGTTAACCGTTCATCGGTTACTACTGGTGAAACGGTTAAAAAAATTACAAACCGATATTCGTTTTCATATCACATTTGACATTCAAAACCAGGAATGGTAGCCAAATATGTTTTCATTCACTAAAGACTATATTAATAGTTCATACAGCACAAAGTTAATATAGCATTTGTCATTTGTAATATATCACGGGAAATTAATGTCTTATTAATTCCTGCTCGAAGTTTTGTACACGTTACATTATTATTAACACTCCCTGCAAAGCTTGGGGTAGTATCAACTTATCTAAACAATTCATGAAATTGGTAACCCTATAAATTTAAAGATGATAGATAATGGGAAAGTCCATTATACAATACTATAAATATTGAAATGGCCCCTTCCAATTCCAGACATAGATTGAAATAGCTCTTTCCAAATCCAGACATAGCAAATGACCAAAAACTAAATGATTAAAATGCAATACAATTATAAAATAAAAACACTAAATGGACACAAAATATTAATTAATCGTAACATACCTAATTCTCAACTGTTACGCCTTCTAGCAACTTATAAAACTCGATAGTTTATCACAGCTCTAAAAAAGCAGCCATGCCGGTTTGGCTGGGATTCCTTTTTGGCGGAAAGATGTTTAAATTTGATTGGGCCAACTGTCAACCTTGGGTGTGTTTTAAAATAAAATATGTATAAGATAATTAATCTTGACCTTTATTGGGTTTTTTTATATACCGGTACATTAAATATAGATATTTTGCAATTAAGTTATGAACGTAATTAAGTTTTAAAGGTGTAATAAACGTTTAATAAATGTTTTTTAAAAAAAAAAAAATTTCAAATGGCGTGTATAGGTAATTGTTACCTATTCATTGCGGGTTCTTTATAAACGGTTCATAAACGTTTAAAAAAATCATATTTACGGTACTACGTTTTAATGGAAAATTTTGTAAGAAAACATCAATTATGAACGTTATCTAAACATATTATATTAAACATTTTTATCAATATTTATCGAAAACTTCTGAAAAACTTACACTTAAAACATTTAAAAAACGTTTAATAAATATTTTTTTTTTTACATAACCTTTTAGAAACAAGAAAAATAACAAAAACAAAAACAAAAAACGTTTTTGAAATATTTTGTGCTTGCTGGGATTCACTTAGAACTGTAATTAATTAAATAATGGCCAGGTTTCACACTTATATATACTGAGCGCCATGGAAAACGCATCACTTAGTTTTTCGTATAACAAAATGATCCTGTAAACATATCTTATTTATTTTGCTTCTTATTGTGAACAATATTCAAATGGGAACACATCAATAACAACACATTTGTACACTTATGGATGTTTAATCTGTAATCAATGGTACAAAGTCAGAGGGGTCAAAACCAAAAGTACGGCACAGATGTCAGTAGCGCGTGTGTCCTCCACGGGCTTTTACGCACGCTGTGCAGCGACGTCGCATGGAATTAACCAATGTTTGAAAGAAGGCCTGGGGCAAATTGTTCCATTCTTGGACAAGAGCAGCTTCTAAAGCAGCAATGGTGTGCATCTGTGGTCTCCGATACAGACGGCGTCCAATCTCATCCCAGACATGTTCTATTGGTGCCATGTCCGGAGACATGGCTGGCCAGTTCAAGACATTGATGTTGTTAGCAGCCAGGAAGTCCATACTAAAACGGGCGGTATGCGAACGTGCATTATCCTGTTGGAAGTGCTGAAGTTGTGGGTGCGCTCGAAACATCGGAACAACAATTGGTTGCAAGACATCATCACGGTAGGCTACAGCATTAACGCGACCCCTGCAAATGTGTAGGGCGGTCCGGTGATGAAATGTGAAGCCTCCCCACATCATTACACTTCCCCCACCCCATCGATTCGTTTCGAAGACGCAGCAGTCTGCAAGACGTTCCTCAAGACATCTCCACACACGTTGACGGCCATCAGCGTGATAAAGATGAAAGCAACTCCCATCACTGAAGAGCACACTTTGCCAGTCTACTCTTCTCCATGTCTGGTGTGTCCTTGAGCCCCTATCAAACGCCGCTGACGGTGATGATCCCTGAGGATAGCTCCAACATAAGGTCGTCGTCGAGTCCTACTTCTCTTAGACGACGTCTTACGGTGTTGGCACTTACTGGTCCTTGTCTTTCGACCACTGCCGCACATGTTTGAGTCGCTGGGCAGAATCTGTCACGCAGATGAGTGACCCGGATGTAACGGTCTTGAGCCTGGGTTGTAACGCGTTGTGGACCAGGACGTTGACGGTCACGCGTTGATCCAGTAACTCGAATACGTTCCACCAACCTTACAGTAGTGGACTGATGACAATTGAGGTGGTGTTTGGCAATAATAGCACGCGTAGACATGCCAGCCCTGGACATTCCCATGGCTTCATTCCGTTGATTTTCAGTAAGTCTCGGCATCTCTAGCTCGATTCCTTCACACGTCCAACAACAAATTACGACAAATTGACGTTTCACAGTTCATGTACAACACATTAAGTTGAAAACATGCTTTTAAATGGCTCACACACAATGCTGCACGTGAATATTGGGTTTTTCATGTGCATCTCATGCAATTTTTTTTGTGCACACGGGCCGAAATTTTTTGCGTTTGGGAGCATTGTGTGAAACAATAGTTCATAGTATTGCATAATATTATACATACAAAACCAACTAGTAATAAAATAATTGGGAAAAAAAGTGATGCGTTTTCCATGGCGCTCAGTAATATAACGGTATCTACTTAAAATGATCATTTAAATACTTAAAAGAGATTGAATTGATTTCATTATTCTTTTATTATTATTTCTTTTTTTTTATACCGGAATAGTATTATTAAATTTACATTAGCACTATTAGATGTCGATCTACGGCTGTTTTTATTAATAATTTGTTTAGTGAAACCGAATGATAAAAATTGCGTTAAGTCTACGTCGATCGAGATTTTGCCGTGGGTAACAAAACTCCGTCAAATCAAATAGCCCAGTGACGTGTAGAATAGATCAAATGGCTTGCTATGTGTCGCAAATTATTCGTTTAACGGCTATGTATATGAGTAATATGAAAAAACTAATGATGAGAGATTTCATTTAGATTAGATCTACTTGCGCAACACATCAACGCAAATGTCTAGCCTAGACTAGTGCAGATCACGTCGGTTCTAAATTCTACGTCGCTTGGCCTAGACTCGTGTATTCTGAGCGGACTGACACAATCATGCAGCTGGTCCAGCTAGTTTTAATAGTTAAAGCAAGAATTTCATATTTTCTAAGAAAGTCAAAACATAATTATTTCTATATCTTATGCTCAATAGGCTGTCAACTCAATATTATAGGATCATAGGTATCATTATGACACTTATAAAATCATTCACACCGGAAATAATAACACAATTACCACCTTTGTTGTTCTACCCCCCCCCCCCCCATGGAAAAACTATCTGCAAACATTTGAATTTGAAGTTGAAAATGATATTTTGGCCAATTTCTCAACTGGCAATAGTGATCAAGGTAGAACTGTTTATAGATACCATCTATTTTAAAGCTTTACTTTAATACATTTTAAAAATATAACTTAAAAATATGAAATTCACTCGGCACAGTTGCAGTCTGAGTGTGTTTTGAAATGAACGTCGCCACTGACATCGCGGTCGTCAACAAAGTCCATGCCTACATTGCCGGTAATCATATTCGAGGGGCTTTCATATTCAACTTAATAATAATAGTCTCTGTTACTACATGATGTATGTATAGGTGCGCGTGTTTTACATACATGTAAATATAGTTGGTGTTTTTGTTGTTTTATAGCCATTGATAATGCTGTTGCGTAGGTAGCCTAATGTTTTGTTTGTATTTGTATGCTGTCTCTAATAGCCGAAGGGGGGGTTAAGATACAATATAATTTTATCTGATCTTATATTAGCCTTAGAAGAAGCCATTGACGATTTTTATATCCCTTCCACATACCCGGTTGAGAGTTAAAATAATAGAACTTACCTTCGGCACGAACCAAAAAACCAATATGGCGTCCCAGAAGCATCTTTCGCGGCAACATTTAGAGTCACGTTATCAGTTTCCGCGGGAAAAAAACCCGCTAGTGTTACCAGATAATTTACTGAAGAATTAACCGGAATATTTGTCAGCTTCTAGTTGTTTTACAATAAGCCTTAAATAAAATGTATTATAATTTGTATTGTGTTATTAAATCTCGATCTACGTCGTTAACCAATACAACTGTACCCAAGATCATACGTCAATTTCTATAGATAAGCGCATTGCAATTCCTGTTTTATGCACTGAATTTGTGTAGCAAACGCTGCACACTACACAATATGCATTAATCACCATTTTCTGTGCTTTGTGTTATTATTTCAATTGAAAAACACCGGATGTAAAAACAGCGACATTTAGGTGCGGGAGAGGCATCTCGTTTACAGTTCATAATACATTTTTATAATACTTGACGGACGCAAACGCCTTTTCTTGCTTTCCCAACCCGTGTGCTCAGCAACATGAAAGCAAGCCAGTATTGCCTATTTAGTACACCAATAACTTTAATGCATTAAAGGAAATTATGATTTCCGAAAAATTATAAAACAAATAAATGACCGATGTCGCACACCGCCGAGTGGGACCCGACGAAATGTTTCAATCCGCTATCAATGCAGTACAAATTCGCCGTGTTCAATGACAAGAAAGTGAAAATGTTTTATTATACTTAAAAATCATCGAATTTGGGGCTCTTTATTTGACTGACAAGAAAGCAAAATATTTTCTTCCAAATAACATTCTGAAAGTTCCGCTTTCACTTTCTCTCGGGATTTTGAATGTGACTTTTTACCTAAATTGCTGCCGGGAACAGGGAATGTCAGGCAATGTCATGACCTTGACTCAGGTTACAACCCCAAAATTGACCTTGCGGGTGCGGGTCACGACTTTGACCATGACATTTATTCGCGATATCTGGGTGGTACATGAAGTTTTGGGACTTTTTCGATCACAAGGTCAAGGGTCAGGTCAAAGGTCAAGGTCCCATTCGAAAGGTCAATGAGTTGCCTATCCATGGTCATGACCTTTGATTTGCCGCGTAGACCAGGGGCCCCACCATGTGCCCGGGAGCATCGAACTCAGTAGATATTTTGGTGACCTTGACCCTTTCAGATGACCTTGACCTACCGGGGTCATGTGGACCAAGATGACATTTTGGAAGGTCAAGGTCCAGTGGTTCTGACTTTATTAAATAGGCCCCTAGGGTTCAAAAACCAAAATACTTCCGGGGCCCCTAGCGGGTCAAGGTCACGACTTTTGGTTGGCGATTTTAAAAAATGAAGAACAAATGTTGGGTCAGTCTATCGGGTCACCAAACCCTGGGGCGATCGGAAGACATTTTTGGGGCAAATTTCCCTAGAAAGTGAAATAGCTGAGCATTACAGCGGTGTGGTCTAAGGGCAGATAACTCGCCAATCCCAAATCGGATCCGACGACCTTGAGGTCGTGGCTATTTAAACTAAATTGACCCCTGGGAGTCTCGTGGTGACCTTGGTTTGACAATCAGAGGTCAAGGTTCGAACTGCTATATATGACGTTTCGATAACGTTATGACAATGTTGTGACAACGTTTTAACAACGTTGTGACAACAACCTGTATATGA